AAAGAAACAGTATACAAGAGGGATGTACAAGCAAAGTGATACATTATTTACATTATTCGGACTATTCTCCTCCTCTTTGTCGCCATATTTATTACAACGTTTCGGCCGTTGTACGCTCCGACCTTCCTCAGGTGGTTGGAATGTCGAACTGAACCCTTTATTTCGCTCACTGGGGTAGACTGTTCTAGTCCCACGTGCCATGTCTAATGGATGTCAGTTATCTCCTGTTAATTCCCCTCTGAAAGTTCTTCACTGCGTTAACCAGGTATTGAACTCAAGGACGACACATGGCACAGTGGATAAAGGCATTAGTTAGATCCAGTGACAGGACGCAAAGAGTGTGAGTTCAATACAAATAACGAACCTCTTAAAAAATACCTTTCGTATGTTTTTAAATTCAGCTCGTGTCGTCTGCCTTCGTTGTGTGTCCATAATGTTACTTTTTTCGTAGTTTTTTTAAACCCAAAAATATCATATAATCAATCTGCTTGTCTGAATCATCTTCAAGAAGCGAGAGCAAGATCTAAAAGGTCAGCCAATCTAACAGTGATCTCATCTCACGATCCTCACTCTTGCTCCATATGCGGCTTCCTTTGTAAATCAGTAGCAGGTCTTAAGTGCCACTTAAGATTATCGCACAAAATTTCATAACTGAATTAATTAAGCTGTAAGATCCTCATACGTCGAAACCGGCGGAAGAGTCCATTATATATATATATATAAATTCATAAAAGAAAAGCCAATAAGGTTTCTTATATAAGAAAGAAGGATCGCTTTCAGTGTAAACGGAAGAAAGGAAAAATTAAAAGCTGATAAAGGAAAAGAAGATAATGAAAAATGTTTGGAAAAAGGGTGTTTAAATCTGAGCAAAATAAATGTAATGTGCACAACGGAAATCTCGTCAATTCGCGGACACACGAGATCAAGTAGTTACGCAGAATTTTTGACATTTACCTGACCTCAATGGATTTTTTTTTATAGAATTTGATAGCTTACGTTATCGGAATATTTAAAGAGGAATTGACCCTGTGAGTGGGAAAGTGCATTTGCATTTTTGTTTGTAACCGAATTCATTAGGTTCCCCGTATGAACTGTTCAATGAATTTCGGTTTTATCGATTAGTAAAAAAAAGGCGTCAGTTAAAAGGTAATGAAAAAAAAAAGTTAAAAAAAAATACGGTTACGTCGACAGCGGCTCAGGAAATGAAAATCAACTTTGTTTACAGGATAATCGGTGAAAAGGTAATGCCTGTTCTTTAACTAGTCTCAGAATTCCAAATCTAATCATCAACATAACTCATTCCTTCTCAATCATTCTACAAGGATCGGCCAAAGTCTACCGTATTATCTTGTGTGTAATACGACCCTGTGTTTCTGAAACTAAAAATAAGGAATAAATTACACGCGTTAGTAGAGACATTCCTATAT